TCATTGTGAAGTGATTGGGGAATGCATAATGTATTAAAATAATTAGACTGCAATTTGTTGGCACCTCCATCCTCATTAGTAACAAATTGCTTGCTTTTTTTTATTAGATAAACACAGGTATTGAAGTTCACAAGGTTTCAAATAGTGTAGATCTCTTCAACAATTGAGAAATAAGACACTGAAGAATGGGAGGTGGTTTAGTGAAGTACCCAATTTTTGCATTAGTTTTGATGGAAGATCTGTGGAAACCCCTGAGGAACAGTGGAAAGGCAATAATCCCAAGAATATGTTCCTACATACTTCTTCAGCTTCTTTTGCCCATTTTGTCTTCCCTTTCTTAAAAATAACTATTGTTGCGGGTGAACTTTCATGAATGCGTGTACCACTTCACCTATATTAAAATTATTCATTTGTGAGCCTGATAGTGAATGTTGATGAGCTAATTGATAGGATATAGCATCAGAACTAAGTCCAGTTCTATCCTTAGATGTCTTCTACATCTGACAGACAACACTAAATAATTATTGAATAACAAGATCTTTAACACAGAATGCTGAGGCTAATTCTTATCCAATTATTTTATTAAGAGTATTACCACAGTATATTTTGCGTGTTTGATAATAATTTGAATTTGAGTTAGGACCAAAATAACCAGTAGAATTCCATTTGTGTTTTCTTTTCGTTAGTTACATTTCTAACACATTTAAGAACTTTCTTCCCTCTTCCAACTCTGTTTAGATATCTTTTATTGAATGTACACATTTTCAGGTTGTAAACTCTTCTCAATGCTCCCAAAAAAAGCAGCTTTTGAAATGCATATTAACTGTCATATCAATGTAATATGCAAAATAAAATTATTTATTTAAAGCTTAGATGTTATAGGAAGAATACAAACAGGATGTATTTTAGTCTACCATGAACTTTAGTTGCAAGCAGACTAGAGATTTGATAACCTGATGTCTTATCATGTGTTAACTGATCATATGCTCTTGGATCATGTCATATTGGTAATGTAATGCAGTTACCTTGAAGGCTGGATTCTTTATGGTTGGGCAGCTTTACTCATAGATTTGTGCGAAGTGCCATTGTGTAAGAAGTTTCAATAATGGGATGACTACTTGAGCTGATGGAGAGCTAAAATTGAGGACATGGAATAAAAAGTGTGGTTATGATTTGATGTGAGGAAACCATAGGTGGAGGGAACATTGATTCCCTCTGTAGCTAATACTAACTCATGGGAGATATGTTGGTAACTAATAGCAATTATAGTCAAACTCAAGTTCCTTTTCTTATTCATGGAATGTGGGTACTACTGACAAGGCCAGCATTAATTGCCCTTGAGAAGACCTTCTTGAAACATTGTGGTCCGTACAATGACAGTATTGCCAACTGTACTGTTAGTTTGGGAGTTCTGGGACTATGACCCACAAATATGAAATAAAACCCTGGCAGTATATTGTCAATTCAGGATGTTGTGTAACTTGAAGAAGAACTTATATGTGGGGAAATTCCCATGAGACTGCTATTCTCGTTCTTCTGTGTAGTAGAAATTATGGATTTGGGAGGGACTGTTGAAGAAACCTTGACAAATTACTGTGTAGTGCATCCCTTAAATGATGCATACTGCATTTATTGCTTATTGTAGATCAATTTCTCACACTGATTCCAGTTAGCACCACTGAGGTATAATGGCAGATAATAAGTTGGTATCTTGTTTTACATTGCTATTTGTACCACTGAAAATAGATATAGGAGATGGTAAACAAGGCCAGGATTTGCTATCGCCGACAATTGTAAATTGTGCTAACATTCTCAGGTAGGTATTAACTGGGGTTTCACATACAAAGAGACAATTATGGAAACTATGGTGTGGTTTAATTAGGAGATATAAGTTTGTAAAATTTTATTCTGAAACAATGTAACAGTGTGTAAAGATTGAGTCCAGTATTATCCTTTAACTCGCTGAAGGTTATCAGCTCTTTTACATTATAACACAAAGTCAGAATCTGCACTCCTCAACTTTTTCATTTATCTGAAATATGTAATTAATGCTGAAAAATCCTTGAATCAATGGTAAAATCTTTTCATGCACTTGCACTGTGACAGTGGGTAATTCTTTTAAACAAGTGCGCTGAAATTAAGTCGACAACTTACACCATGCAACCTAAATATTTGAATGCATCAAGTCTTCCTGAAATGCATCCCAAAATGAATTTGTTTAGTGCCTACAATTCACAAAACCATGTTTGCTAATTGCCTACAACCACATCAGAAAAGATCCCAATCATTTAATTTTAAGTGTAAAGGAAATCTTTTTATCAGAAGTCCTTGAAATTATTGATGGTTTGCTTCTGAGGAATTTAGGTATTGAAATAACATTAGATGTTTTGTTGTAAAATATTTCTACAGCCAGAATGCACATAAAGCATATCTAAGGTCACAAAACAAACTCATGAGTCTAATAGATATGCAGATTCAAACCAGAGCGTGGATTTGGAAACCTAAGGCATGCTGCAGGTTTTGAAAATGCTTTGAAGTCAAAGTAGTTCCAGCAAGACAGAATAGTTTACAATGAGAATTGAAGAGTCCAGGATCTTGAGTCAATAATATTCATCAGTAGTAGATAAGAGTAAGGATGGAATGCATAATAGTTCAATCTCAAAATTTATCAAAGTCCTAACCCACACATTTCAGAAATGTCCTATGCTCTGCCTCTAAAGCCTTAGTGCAGCTGATAAAACTGTGCCTGGTTTAGCAGCAAAATTATTTTGAAAGTTTTGATAAAATATTCCTATTTATGTTTTTATTTTTTTAAATTTCCTGTTCATTGTTCCCATGCAACAAAATTCGAGTGTAACAGTTATTGATTTCATGAATATATACTAAGCAGAGCATGAACATGTAGGGAACTTGCTCATTTTAGCAGAGAGGCTGTTGTTCTCATTATGATGCTATACGCTATTGGCTTACAGTGGTGCTGCCTTTCTTCTTTAACACTGCTTGCCTCACGTGGATTGTCATTGGTTCTCTGTGGGCTTTATAATTAGCCTTCAGGAAATGTCTGGGTGACCCATGAGGAAATGGAAAACTTAACATCTGCTACAAGAATGGTTAGTCTCCACTTTATTGCTCTATTTGCATTGAAGAAGATTTGCTTGGCTATGACACAATTCGGTGCTTGCACGTTTTAAGTCTGTTCTTGATGGAAAGATTTCATTTCCAAATCTCTTTGATTTGTAGTTTATAAATGGAAATATATCAACTTAGTATACTTTTGGATAATACAATTGAAAAAGCTGCATATTAAAAGCAATCAACCATTGCTGTCAGCTGATGCAATCTTACCTTCCCTTCTCTTATCGAAGGATTAGAAACATTTGCATCATAACTCTGTAGACTAAAAGCAAACTAAAGAGATTTGTTAGGGGCTTGTGCAAATTTCTCTGTAATTTTAACATTTGTCTGAGTTATACTGTACCATTCAGTTATCTTTTTAGAATAACATAATTGGTCCAATATATTTTCAATGAGAATACAATCAAAATTTTGACGTGAAAAGTATTTCATTATCTTGTATTTGCCTTCTCTGAGTTATTTTTATATGCTTTCAATTTGAACTAAAAATGAGATCTTTTAAACCCATATGAATAACATATAATGTTCATTATTATTATGTGCAATTTTCATTTTCAATTACCTTGTTCTACTGTTTATTACTGTACTGTTATTTGCTATGTGATCACCTTAAGTTCCTTAGCCTGCAAAGTCCCTCTGAGTAATTACCATTCCTTCAGCAGTACAGTGTAGATTTTGGCTTTTCTGTATTTTGTCCAGTGAAGCAATGAATATAAAAGAAGAATCAGATTTTAACACATTCCCAATTTTGGTTTCCTGGTTTGCATAAGTACAAAACCCTTCAAAAGTGTCCACAGAAATATTTTGCTATTGCCATCCTAATAATTTCACTAGGTATCTTTTTACAATCATACTACATTTTACTTCATTGCTACAAGCATATTTGGATAGATTTTCTAAATTTCAAAAGAACTGCAGATGCTGTAAATCAGAATCAAAAGCAGAAATTGCTGAAAGAGCTCAGCAGTTCTGGCAGCATCTGTGGAGAGAATCAGAATTAACATTTTGGGTCGAATGACCCTTCCTCCTAACCGGAGCTTTTCCAGCAATTTCTGTTCATGTGTATGGATAGTTTTTCTGATTAGGCTTTTAGATTATGCAAACTTTATCTAGGGCAACAGAAGAAACGTGGCTGAATCTTGATTCAATAAGTGTTGGCTGAAAAGTGGTTTCCATTCTGTAGCACCTTCCTTAACAGTAGCACTGAAATAGTCATGAAGGAGATGAAGTAAAACAAGCGGGCTCAACACAAGACTACAGATACTGACAATAATACCCCCGTGGTGCAAGTCGGTTGCAGCTGTCCTTCAGACAGATGTCACAACTTTGCTTGTTGAAACTTAAAATGGTAGATTTTGTTTGTGTTTCTTTATCAACAATTTACTGGTTTATTACAGTATTCTTATAGATGTAATACTTGAAGATCGATAAGTCCCCTGGGCCTGATGGGATTTATCCAAGGATTCTATGGGAAGTGAGGGAAGAGATCGCAGGGCCTTTGGCAATGATCTTTTCGTCCTCACTGTCCATGGGTATAGTGCCGGAGGATTGGAGACGGGCAAATGTCACTCCCTTGTTCAAAAAAGGGAATAGGGATAACCCCGGAAATTACAGGCCAGTTAGTCTTACATCAGTGGTGTGCAAATTATTGGAAAGGGCTCTGAGAGATAGGATTTATGATCACTTGGAAAGGCACAGTTTGATTCGTGATAGTCAGCATGGATTTGTGAGGGGTAGATCATGCCTCACAAACCTTATTGAATTCTTTGAAGAGGTGATCAAACACGTGGATGAAGGTAGAGCAGTGGATGTGGTATACATGGATTTAAGTAAGGCGTTTGATAAGGTTCCCCATGGTCATGCAGAAGGTAAGGAGGCATGAGATAGGGGGAATTGTGGCAGATTGGATTCAGAATTGACTGACCCTTAGAAGACAAAGGGTGGTAGTGGACGGTAAATATTCAACGTGGTGCTCAGTTACGAGTGGTGTACCACACAGATCTGGGTCCTCTTCTATTCGTAAATGATTTGAATGAAGGAGTGGAAGGGTGGATTAGTAAGTTTGCGGACGATATGAAGATAGGTCGAGTTGTGGATAGTGCGGAGGGCTGTTCTAGGTTACAAAGGGACATTGATAGGATGCAGAGCTGGGCTGAGAAGTGGCAGATGGAGTTTAACCCTGAAAACTGTGAGGTGATTCATTTTGGAAGGACAAATTTGAAAGCAGAATACAGGGTTAACGGAAAAATTCTTGGCAGTGTGGAGGAGCGGAGAGATCTTGGGTTCATGTCCACAGTTCCCTGAAAGCTGCCACCCAGCTGGATAGAGTTGTTAAGAAGGCATATGGCACGTTAACTTTCATTAACAGAGGGATTGAGTTCAAGAGCCGTGAAGTTACGCTCCAGCTATACAAAAGCCTGGTTCGGCCACATCTGGAGAATTGAGTCCAGTTCTGGTTGCCTCATTACAGGAAAGATGTGGAAGCGTTAGAAAAGGTGCAGAGGAGATTTACCAGGATGTTGCCTGGAATGGAGGGAAGGTCTTACGAGGAAAGGTTGAGAGAGCTAGGGCTTTCTCTTTAGAACGACGATGGATAAGAGGTGACTTGATAGAGGTGTACAAAATGATCAAAGATATAGATAGAGTGGACAGCCAGAGACTTTTTCCTAAGGCGGAGGTAGCTGTTACGAGGGGGCATAGTTTTAAAGCGGGTGGAAGTAGATATAGGGGAGACGTCAGAGGTAGGTTCTTTACTCAGAGAGTGGTAGGGGCGCGGAATGCATTGCCAGAGAGTGTAATGGAGTCGGCCTCATTAGGGGCATTTAAGCGGTTATTGGATAGGCATATGGATGATAGTATAAGGTAGGGGTGGAGGTTAGATAGACCTTAGGATTAGGGTAAAAGTTTGGCACAACATCGTGGGCCGAAGGGCCTGTACTGTGCTGTACTGTTCTATGTTCTATGTTAACTCTTGTAATTTTTTAATAGAACCGTCAATGCTATAACTCTGAAAATATTATAAACAGACAGCAACTGTGTTAGTATCTGTGGAAAAACAAAGAAATCAAAACTCTGATGCAAGGCTGCAGATTAAAATATTCACAGGTGTTGACTGACCTGCCATGCATGTTCAGCATTTTCAGTTTTTTTATTAATAATTCATAGGGATTTAATTTGCTACACACACAGTGGTTGACATGGTACATAACATTTTTTTACACAAGTTTTAATATAGCCCCCGTCATGGCTTAACAACTGTTTTAAAACAGCACGAGAAAGAATATTATGTAAAAAAATTTGTAAGTGCAAATGAAACAAAGTCTTGAACCCAGTCTGCTTGAAGAGTTATTACTCAAAGTTTGACCTTCAAAAAAACTGAAAATCTGTCACAGGAAAACATGAACTCAACTTGTGTTGTCACTGCATGCTAATGATTTTCTACTATTGTGTAATCAAGTACAGACGCACAAGACAAGCCACTGCATAAATTTAAAATCTGGTTAAAATCAATGTGTAAAGATAATTTAAATGAGCCTTACCATATATGCACAAACATCTTATTGTTGTTAATGCGTAGCTTCAGTATCTATTTCATTATATTAATGTTACATTTTATGTTATTAGATCTTATAAAATATCTAGACTAGAGATGTAAATCAACTTCTAGTATTTAATACATCTTTTATGTATTGAATATATGATAATGTTAAATAAATTTACAGTTTCCAAAAAGTCCTACAATTTATGTTAACATAGATGACCTCAGAAGAAATCCAAAAAAAAATTGAGGACTGATATCATATATGGCAAATATAGACAAGTAAATTGCACTATAGATTTCACCAGTAGATACTGATATACTGTACAATAGAGCTATTTAATATTTTAAAGTTGCTTGTAATACTCGAAGATACTGTCAGTTATGTTGGTATGCAACCATATAGATATTTCCTCTCTGTCTTAAGAAATAATGTACTCATTTATACTTCTGATAAAATTAGAGGCAGTATGAAAATATTAAAGATAAATGGAATGACTGTCTACAGCAATTTCCATATTATTTTTCCCACAGGAAAACAGTATAGTGAATTAAAATCTTAGTTTTTTGTGCTTTGAAGTTCCAATATGGAAATTACACATCTCATCCTTGGCATTTTAATCAAATTTATTAATATGTCATACAGGATAGAAACAGGCCCTTCAGCTCATCATGTCTATGCCAACTAACAAACAACAAACTACACTAATCCCATTTATCTACACTTGGTCCATATCAACTATGTGCAGGTATTTTAAGTTATCCAGATGATTCTTTAAAATCCAGATGCTTTGATAGCTATACAAACTTTAAAACTTAGATAGATCACATTTGGAGTATTGTGTGCAGTTAAGATGAAGAAAGGTTTACCAGAATGTTGCTTGAATTGGAGTGTATGAGCAATAAGGAGAGGTTGGACAAACTTAGATTGTTTTCACCAGAGTATTGCAGGTTGAGGGGTTACCTGTGGGAAGTATATAAAATTATGATAGGGTGGATAGTTAGAGTCTTTCTCCCAGGGTGGAAATGTCAAATATTAGGGGGCATAGGTTTAAAGTGAGAGGGAGAAAGTTTAAAGGAGATGTACGAGGCAAGTTTTTACACAGTGTGCTTGGTGCCTAGAATGCACTGCAAGGAGAGGTGGTAGAAGCACATGTGATATCAATGTTTAAGAGGCATTTGAACAAACATTTGAACAGATTAGGCATAGAGGGATACAGACAATGTGCAGACAGGTGCAATTAGTTTAGAATGGCATTGTTGTTGGCACAGATATGGTGGGCCAGAGGACTTGTTCCTGTGCTGTACTAATAAAACAAAAATTCAAGAGAATCTGTGGTTGTTTCAAGCATGGTGTGCGAGGGACCTCTTTCTGTGCTGTACTAACAAAAAAAAGCCAAGAGAATCTGCATTGAAATTCCAGGCACTTGTGACCTGATCAGATGAGTATTCAATTAAGTGAACACAAACAGGCTTTATTAAACATAATAGTGTTTATCCTAAATCCTATCCTTCTCTGAAACTTTGTACACTTGGGGCCCCATTTTTTTCCAACATGATTATGTCATAGCTCCTTACCCATATGCTAAGAGACTACTATTAGTGTAAGGGTATAATTTATCCATGACTACAAATCTCCACCAAGTTCCTCCCACAAACTGTTAACCTCATGAGTTATTTACAGTTTCCATCCAACTCATTTGTCTCTCACACACACAATTTCCCAAAATGTTTTCCAGCCAAGGCACCAATTTCCAACTATGTTCTCAGCCCCTTTATAGAATAATTGGGATAGATGAACTCTACATGGTCCTCCTTAAAGGGAAATACTTTCGCAGTTTGGGGTTCCAGCCTCTGACAGTGATCTGAATATAAAGGCAACTCTCATGAGCTTGAGGCTGGGCTGGAATGGATGACAATATCTCTGGATCCATGATAAGTACTGCTTACTTCTTAATTACTGGTTCTGAAGCCGAATTATACCAAACTTGAAGCATTACCTCAATTTCTGTCTACAAATGCTGGAAGAACTGCTGAACTTCTCCTACATTCTCTGTGTTTGGTTCAGATTTCCAGCATCTGCAGTACATTGCTTTTATAACATGGAACGAAAGAACTTCAAGACTATTTCACATAATAGGAAGGAAACACAAACTATTTTACAATATACAGAAATAATTGAAACAGTTTTATTACAAATATCAGGAATAAAGAATCATTCTTGTTATCCTCAACAACAACCATACAAGTACTCAAACCTCAGTCAGGAGACACCTGTTTCCATTGTAAAGTTCCTTGTTCAGAGGACATGGCTGCATTTGTTTCTTTTCTAGCAAATGTTTGCATTCAATCAATGCTATTTCTTGAGTCAATTTTCGCTTCCTGTGACCAGTAAACAAATGCTTTGCCGTATTAATTAGCACAGTCACACAATGAGACTGAGCCTTGCTGCTCGGCATTTGTTAGTCAAAGGGATATGCATCTCACTCTCGGTTCTATGCTACATCAATCTCAATCTTGCACCATGTGCCAACAGCATACACAGCAAAAGAAAAACACACATGTGAAGCAAGACAACAGCCAAAGTCTTAGAACATAAGAACAAGGAGGAAGAGTAGGCAATTCAGCCTCTCAAGCCTGCTCTGTCATTTAATATGATAATGGCTGATCATTCCTGCCCACTCCCCATAGCATTTTACCCATTACTTATTAACAATAGACAGTATGGCTTTGTCCAGGGAAAGTGGTGTCTCAAAACTTGATATTTTTGAGGAAGTGACAAAGATGATTGATGAAAGCAGGACAATAGATATTGTCTATATGGACCTTGGCAAGGCCTCTAACAAGGTTCCTCATGGCAGGCTGATACAAAAGGTGAAGTTACATGGGATCCACAGTGAGTTGGTAAGATGAATACAGAACTCACTAGGTCATAAAAGATAGACAGTAGCGGTTAAAGGGTATTTTTCTGAATGGAGATTTGTGACCAGTAGTGTTCCACAGGGATCAGTGCTGGGACCCCTATTGTTTGTATATGAATGATTTGGAGAAGAATGTACATGGCCTGATTAGTCAATTTGCAGATAACATAAAGATTGGAAGAGCTGCAGATAGTGAGGAGGGTTGCCAGAGATACAGCAAGATATAAATAGAGAGACTGGAGACTTGAGCAAAGAAATGGCAGGTGGAGTTTAATCTGGAGAAATGTGAGGTGATGCATTTTGGAAGGTCTAGTACAGGAGGGAAGGATATATTAATGGCAAAGCCCTTAGTAGTATCAATACACAGGGATCTAGGCATACAGGCCCACATTTCCCTAAAAGTGGCAAC